GTTATTGGTTCCATATTGCAGCAACACACAAAGTGGCAAAGTGTTTTAAAAAGACGCTGTTTGTGTTTTAATTACATAATCCAAGCATGGCACTCTTCACACAGATGAAGTGTTACCTAACCATTCTTGTAAGGGGAATGCCTGTTTTTCCTTAAACACTGAGTCAGCTGTCTCCAGACTGTTCATAGGTACCTTTCACCTTTTTCACTTCTCCTTATAATCCAAGATGTGTTACTGAGAGCTACATTCAGACCACATTCTGACCCCCAAGATGTTGCATAGAGTAATAGGAATCATGTGTATCCAAGGCCCTTAGTGATTTACTGAGTAATTTTAAAGACTTTTTCTTCTTACTGCAGATCTAACTTGTATAAAAAATTACTTGAACAGTAGTAGTATCGGGCCTTGGCTGATGGGTCCAGTATGGCTTTTACTGTACCCTTATTTTAGCTTTGTTTTTGTTTGCTTTTAAAGTATTTTGTTCATGTGTACTTTAGCAGAGACATGCATTTCCCCTCTCTTTCTTAAGTTAAAAGAAAAAGTGTTCAAGTATTGATTCAATTAATTCTAAATTTAATTCTGGTTGCAAGCAGAAGGCTACTAGGCTACAGGAAACGAATTAATTCTGCTGTAGGTTAGCACTTGTAAATACTAATACTATCCTATAGCGGCGTTCTTTAGTGCGTAGCAACACATGTGTAGATGCTGACCTGGCTGGCTAGAGCACAAGGGTACTTCAGCACAGGGCTGCTTTCTGGCTAACCCCACAGTGGAGCACCCTCATGTCCCAGCCAGCCCCTTGACAGCATGTTAAACTGGGTCAGAGAAGCCCCAGGTTGGCAGGCTGACCCCACAGGCCCCCTGCCAGTTGGGGCTACTCCAGCCCAGCTCAGTGTGCTGCAGTCCCAGGCACATGTATAAATAGAGCATCTAGAAGCAATAAACTCTGGCCTGATATATAACGGAGCTTATTGTCACATTATTTTGATGCGTAGACATACCCACAGGTAACTTAGGGCATTATTCTCAAGTAGTCATCTTATTCATACTGTGAGAATGAGGGAGAGGGACTGACTGATTTTGGATTCCCTACAAGCTAATTAATGAAGTCTCAAAAGAGAGAAAACATTAAATTAAAATATTTAATGAAATTGTAGTGAGTGCTATTAAGGTGTACTTCCAATTACTGACTAGATTCCATAGAAGATTATTTATGCCACAGAGCTCATGGTATGTGCACCAAATGCCCACAGAAAAGCATGAATTTGACATCAATGTAATTATAGAAATGCAAGTCAGAATTGTATCCATTGTGTACTTCTGTAATCATATTAGTGTGAGTGGAGTTTAACCACTGGAGAAAAAGGGTGTGAGGGGGCCACTGAATGGCTTCTCTCTTTGGGTTCCAATTTGCGTAGAAGTCTTCATCCATTTTCATAAACTCTTGCTTTCTGATGAGATGTGCCTCTGGCAGATCTATTGATCCCCAAATGTTCTCTCTCGGCAAAGGATTAAAAGAATGCATAACAATTATTTATGCATGTAATGCATTAAAAGAATGCATAACATAAAATAACAATATTTAATCTGGGAAAGTACCTGAAAATAAGTAGCAACAACCAGTAAATTGGAACGTACAATTTATATCTTCTGCTCCAAACCAGGCAAAAAAGCTTGCATACCTTTGTCTTTTTTCTTTTTTAAAAAGGGCCCCAAACCCACACACATTTATAAATAGGATCAATCCTCTTCAAGTCCATTTTTCACTTGGATGCAGTCGTGATGTGTAGAGGGTGAACGTGCACCCCGACTGGCCGTACTCCCTGCTTAAGTGATGGGCGGGAGCACTGGTGCCCCACCCCTGCAACCACTCGCAGGGGAGTGTGGGATGTAGCTTTGCAGCTGCTTCCCAGTCAGTGAGTTTTGCCATGGGTGGACCCCCCCGGTCGCTGACTGGTCGCTGGGGGGGCATGTGCCCCCCCTACTAAGGTGGTACCAGTCACCCATGCATGGGTGAAATTAATACACATAAATGTTCTTACTATCAAAGCCAAAAGCTACCATGTATTTCTTCCCTTCATACACAGAGTATATCTTGTATGGAGGGAAGCCGAAACAGGGTTAGTATGTTAACATCATTTCCTTACAGTACAAGATAAAAACTGGGCTACAATTTAAATGTGCATCCTGCATTATTTCCATCTGAAATGAGTATGCAATCCTAATTTAGGTTAGGTAGATAGCTCCACTAGTTTCAAGCAGAGTACAGGATTTGTTCTTCATGAACAAATTAAAGCTAGAGCAGCACTATTCAACTGGTGACCCAAGAGCAGCTTATGGCCTGAGAGGGGTTAAGCTGCAGCCCCTGACTTTCTGCCTTGCCAACACTCCCCACATCAATTTGGCTGCAATAGTACCTGGAGTCTCTGGGCGCTCTCTCCCTTCTCAGGCTTTCGCCGGCTGCTCCTGCACAGAGCGTGGTCAGGAGAGCCGAGGTTGAGCCTGAGGCTGTGCGCATAGTGCAGCAGTGGGGAAGGGGGCATGTGCATGTGCACAGGAGTGGGGGGAGCACCTGCACAATCATGTGGTGCAGTGGTTGGGGACAGCATGGGTGCACAGTGCAGCTGTGGAAGTGGGGAGGGGAGGGGGAACATTCAGGTTCATAGTGCAGAGGGTAAAGGGGGCTCCTACACGATGGAGCATGGGAGTGGAGACTATTTAGCTGGAGCACAGCTCAGGGTGGGGCTGTGGTTTACCCTGGCACTGCACTTGCTGGTGTGGCCTTTGGGGCATTTGGCCCCCAGCTGCTTAGAAGTTGGACAGCCATGTGCTAGATCCTCAAGAAATATAAACTTCAGCATAGGATGTGTGGGTGCAACAAAGTATTATGCTTTATCATGTCTTTCCACACCATTAACTTCCAAAAAGTTAATAGAGCGATTCATGGGTTTCGGTTGTAGCTGTGTTGGTCTAAGGATATAGGCAGACAAGGTTCCTTGGGTGAATTTGATATCTTTTATTAGACCAACCCAAATGGTTGGAGAATAGTTATTAAGCAAGCTTTCGGGTTCAAAAACCCTTCGTCAGGCTCAGGAAGCTGCAGCAGTTGGTGTGTGCTCTTCCACGAAGGGTTTTTGAACCCGAAAGCTTGCTTAATAACTATTCTCCAACCATTTGGGTTGGTCTAATAAAAGATATCAAATTCACCCAAGGAACCTTGTCTGCCTAGAGCGATTCATAAAATTACAGCTACTACTTACTTGTTATGCCCTCCCACCAAGTAGTGATACAGATGGAATTACATACAGTAATGAATAAAAGCAATAGTGGTCCACAGACCTAGGGGTTTACAAAAGCAGCATAAATATACACAATACAGGATGCTAAGATTCATGACATATAACCATGCTGTTATCTCATTTGGGGTCAAAGGTCTGCCCAAGCCAAGTGACTTGTTGGCCCAACTTGGTGAAGGCAAAGAATCATCACAGAATCATAGAAAATTAGGGTTTAAAGGGACTGTAGGAGGTCATCTAGTCCAGTGGTTCTCAACCTTTTTTGTACCAGGAGCCATTTGTAAACATTGATGGCCAGTCCCAACCCAGTGCCCCAACCTGCTGCCCCCACCCCCAGTGTATGGGACATGGGGACCCAAGCAGCCCCTCACAGGGTGGAGGTCTGTCAGCCTGCAAAAGAAAAGCCACAGTTTCCCACTTTCTTGTCCTTTAAAAGGAGAACCCATTTCTAAAGTTTGCTTGAAACCCTTTCATATATTCTTGCAACCCACTATTGGGTCATGACTCGCGGGGTGCGAAACAATGATCTAGTCCAACCCCTGCTCAAAGTAGGACCATCCCCAACTAGTTCATCCCAACCAAGGCTTGGTCTAGCTAGGTCTTAACCTCCAAGGATGGAGCTTTCACCACCTCTCTGGGTAACCTGGCCCAGCGCTTCCCCACCCTCCTAGTGAGAGAATTTTTTTCTTACTATCCAACCTAAAACTTCTCTTGCTGCAACTTGACACCGCTGCTCCTTGTTCTGTCACCAGCCATCACTGAGTTTAGCTCCCTCCTCTTTCAACCCCCCCCCCTTTCAGGTAGCTGATGGGTATTAAACCCCCCAGCTCGGTTTCTCTCTTCTGCAGACTAAACGAGCCCCCTCTCCTCGACGCCCCCCCCAA